TCTGACTGAAATGCTCATTTAAGAATCACCATCTGCAAGGAGCAAAAGCATAATTAGGTTTTCCCAAACATAGACCCACTAATCCCACCAAGGTCGCATATAGAAATGTGAAGGAGAACCAGTAAGGATCTGAGAACTTAATAATTAGCCAAGAAAAATTATTTGTATTACTAAAAAATAACCTCTTCCCTGAACATTTCTCCAGAGACATCAATTATTTCATTTGGTTTATTGGTCTGTTCAATTAAAATCTGCACCCATTATATAGTTCAAAGTGTGCTTACAAATTATATTTTAGATGATCTCACAAATTATAAAAACATTAGTTATATCTTTACACATCTGGGGTAATTTATTGCAAGGCTTTTTAAAGCTTCACCTCTTTATAAAATTTTTCTACATTCATCCCAAACTGGAGTCAAAACAGGTTAAAACTGGTTATTTTCAGAGGTTAACAGTTTAGAATAGAGGCCAGACATGGTGCTGGTATGAGGGGAAACAATTTTGAGCTTTAAAAGTACGCAAACAGCTTCTTAAATAACATAGCTGGCTGAGAGGAGGCAGCGTTAGCTCCAGCTGAGTATCTTGTGACTGCAGGTCACCATCATGTGTTAGCCGGATCAGCACAATGAGGCCCTTAACAAGATTCACAGCAGAGCAAAACTTGATTCTGGAACATAGCTGATGACTTTTGACATCACAAATATAGAAGTCAGTCGCAACCATGGCAACAATAAGCACATCCTCTTTAAAGAGCAAGTCACCCCCTACCAGAGTCTAACTCCACTCCCACTTCATGTTTGAAAAATGCAACAAATGCCGTTGCCTGGCAGACCGAGAGGGCGGATCCGCTAACAAACACACACACACAGGTTCACGACAGCATTGTGACATCATAATGTACCAGTTTACATCATAGCATACCTCTTAGCCAATAGCGGTGGCAGATTTAAATTCAAATACAGTGCATAGTTTTTACCTGACAACGGCACAACACTGCCAGTTTTAGGCAGAAATTTTTAATTTTAATTAAGATGCACTGAAATGCCAAATTATTGACTACACGTGTCTGCAGCACGATTAGACACTTGTTTATTTAGTTTATCAGCAAAAAAAAGTTGATTTGGGGGTGACTTGCTCTTTAAGTTGCCAGGTTATGACAAAAAAAGTCCATATTAACTCATAAAATATGGGTTAAGTTAAACAAAAAGCTATTTTGCACAGTTTTATTGCCTATTTAAAGCTTCTCAGCCAAAACAAACCATAAAGCTCACCCTTACTGCATTTGTAAGGTTAGTAGTAGCAATGTGGTGTGTACTAATCCATTTGATTAAATATTCATCAGCAAACATGAACATATCTCTTCAAAGGTTTGGGAGATGGTAGTCAGGAGCATTCAGGTGTGTGTTAACGCAATACTAAAGACATCAGCGGTGATCTCAGAGGAACAATTGTTGTTTTTCCATTAGACTGGGGGGGGGGGGGGGGGTAATAAGGCTGTTTTAAAAACACTCAGCACAAGTGCCTTACAGCACCGGACGTTTACCTGATACTAAAAAATGTTTATTACTCAAAGAAGTAAAATAAAACCAATCAATTCCGTAAGAACTCGTGTTGTGAGTTAGAAAGAGTAATTAGGAATGGAGCAACAAGAATATGAAATCCTAGTTTTCTCACAATTTTCAAATGAAAGACTGTTTTCCATTATAAGTGCTGTATTCTATTGTTTTTATTTAATGTGATGAAAATAAACAGGCCCTACTTATCTACTCCGTACTACACTCTACAATAAAAAAATATTGTTGAATTTACTTAAAGAACAAGTCACCCCTAAATCAACTTTTTTTGCTGATCAACTATATAAATGAGCGTCTAATCATGCTGAAGACACGTGTAGTCAATATTTTGGCACTTGAGTGCATCTTAGTTCAAATTTAAATGTTCTGCCTAAAAATATCAGTGTTATGCCCTCTTCAGGTAAAAACTCTGCACTGCATTTGAATTTAAATCAGCCATTGCTATTGGCTAAGAAGGTAATCCCATGGCGTTAGCTGGTACCATATGATGTCACAATGCCGTTGTGAGCCTGTGGGTGTGTATTTGTTAGCGGCTCTGCCCTCTTAGTCTTCCAGGCAGCAGCATTTGTTATATTTTTCAAACAGGAAGTGGGAGTAGAGTTAGACTCTGGTAGGGGGTGACTTGCTCTTTAACCAAGTTATGCCAACTGGTAGGGACAGTCCAGTCTATTCGCATGTTTGCAAATTGGGCTCGATCACATTATTTTAAAAGGATTGGAATCCGGTGGGAAGTTTCTTATCCTTTCTTTGAGTGGTGCTTTGTTGGTTCTTTCCATTATGTGTTGTGTTGTCTTAGTTTTGATTGGAGTTCTTAGCTCTGGGCTTGTAGGTGTCATGTCTTCTTCCTGGCATCTTGAGTTGAAGCGGAGGTGGTTTCTTAGACTTTCTTTAGACTTGCTAGCTTTAGATCTGTCCTTTTTGGCTTCTTCTCTGTATTTTTTGTTCACACTCTTTACGTTTGTTCTGTGTGTAACTTCATAATCCATTACTTTGTTCTTTTTTACACAACTTTGTAAAGAAAAAAATGTTTTTTTTTTTACCTTACAAGTTTCAGCTAATGACTCTAGCCGTCATTAGAGTTAACCAGTGTGGGTAGTGTCACCTCCGTTTATCTGAGGGCAGCAGAGGACATTGTCACAGCGATGTGTTGCTCTGCTAAATTTATGCTTCAAGTCAGTTTTTCACGTGCTTCCCTTCCAGAACGCATCAAGCTTAGCAGTTTAGATCGGGCCGTACACAAAGTCAGACACAAAATCAGTGTAAAACATCTGTAAACTTTCAAAATAAAAGTCATGTGAAGATTTCTAGTTGCTAAACTAGTAAAAAGGAATACGTCTTTACCCGTGAAACCTCTGTAGCCAAGTTAAACAGAGAATAAACCAGACCTTTTTACATGCAGCCATTTTTCTCCTCGCTTGTTATCGTGTGAACTGCTGGAATCACACGTGATCTTTCAATTCTCCCGTTATTTCATGACCTCGGGGACCATCCAGTTGAAAGCCAGAGTTGGAGTGTAATATCACGAGATTTTCAAAAATAACACTCTTGTTAAAACCAGTGCTTTTTTTCTCTATTTAATGAACTTATGGGTTCCTTTTGGTTTCTGGAGGTTCTGATGTGAACCATTTTTATTGGCGCGCCACAGGCACATTAGATGCAGCGAGTTGAAAAGAGTCCAGATGTGGAAACACAATTAGATGCTTCCGTAATGCAACAACAATCCAAACGTCAGTACACTAGGCTAGTAATCTGGCACTTTCCAAAATACACAAGTGCCTGAAAAGCCTTTTTAATTCACATTTTATGAGTGTACTGTGAACTGTGACACTGTTGCATAATTCTTCAAATGTTCTGAGCTAAAGCAACAAAAATGCAGCATCAGTAGAAAAAATGTGTGTATAAATTCTTCCCTAAATCAGGCTGAAACTTCACAACCTTTTGTGTAATTTCAAATTTAAATCTGTGGGTTTGATTGGATGCTATCCCACTCAGGGTGAATTTATAATGATCCACCCACTCGGGGCTCAGTGAGGGGGAGGAAGGCGGTTAAAGGAGCAGGTTTTAAACCAGCAGTAAGGTGAGTCAGATAAACTGTCTGTGGCAGAGGGAGAAGATCGGCTCGTTTGTTATTAGGGTGTTATTGGAAAGTGGTTGTTGTATTTGAGCTTCGGTGAAAAGGAAACAGGAGATCAGAAAGTCACTTTTCCCCTCAAGGACTTTTTGCTTTTATTATTTTATTATTATTTGTTTCATTTTGGGCATTCCTTTGTGTTCATGTCCCCAACGTCTCAGAACCAGTTCAGTTTGGATGACTCACTGTAGAGAACTTTAGTATGACGTCACTAGCGTTTCTTTCATTGGTGTTTTACACACTGATGTATAAAAGACACTTTATAAACAAAGTTTGATTAAAGTTTGAATGGCAAACATCAGAGAGCCACCGATATGGGTTTTTCTAATTCTGATACCGATGCTGACATGTGGAGGTCACGGTCAGCCGATGGCTGGCATGCACTGATAATTTCTTGGGCCAATTTTGAGGATATTTAGATGTTTTCCACCTTATTCAAATGTTAAAATATCACTAACAACTACAGTGGACACACAACATTTCTGAACCTGAATCAGTTTTTCACACAGAATTTAAGTCTTAATTTTGTGCCCAGCATTAAAATTCTAACCGCACATAATAATAAAAAAGTAGGTAAATAAAAATAAATTACTTTTGATCTGTTTCAGGAATGTAAATGTGTGTTTAAATATCATCCATGTGCTTGACTTTAAGTCGGTTCTACTAAAGAGGTATTTTGGATGGTGTTGGTGTATAAAATAATGGTGAACATCGGCCCGATATATCCATGGACGTAATTTTGGGGTGGGGGACATGTCCCCCCACTTTTTCCAAAGTCAAGTTTTGACCCCCGCACTTTTTACCATCCAAAAACAATATTACGCTATATTAAATTGACACTGGTTGAGCTCTAGGACCAAACGGAAAACAACCATTTGTGTTGAAGCCTGTTTCCCATCAGAGCATACTGTAAAGATCCCCCCCACCCCCACTTCTAAAGTGAAAATTACGTCCATGGATATATCAGTCTATGCCTTGAAAATATATGAAGTGGGGAACAAAACTTTGAAGTTGACAAATGAAGAGAATCTTATCAGATTTGTTCCTTCTAATGAGGTTTCCTTCCAGATTGAGTGTTGGTCTGTGCGCCACCACCTTTCTCCTGTCCACAGCAGGAATATCATCACTTAAACTGACATTGGAACCTTCGCATAAGTAATTAATACTGTATATTTCGTTCCTCAGATCAAAGCTCATCATGGGCAAATTTCAAAGCCAAATTCAAAAATGTTGAATGAACTGTTTGCAACAAGCAATTTTGCTCATCTTTTCCCTCTCCTTGCTGTTTGTAGATGTTGGAGCCTAAGGTGGATGCCTCTTCCTGTGAACTGGGTGGAGTAGTAGGAGATCGAGAAAGCGTAGGCCTCCACATGCCCACAAACAGCACAGAGGGTGAGGATAGCAGCCTCTATCCCTCCAGCCCATCAGAGCCACCAACACTAGGAAGTCCTCACCCCTCAGAGCCACTCACCCCCTTGGAGGAAGTGTACACCACCCTCGGAGGGCTGCTGGGATCAGTGGATCGACATAAGGTGCCTCCCACACCTCCTCCTTCCACAGAAGGTGAGGACTCCAAGAGTATAGAGGGGCATGAGATGGATATCTGGAAGGAGAGCAAGGATGAAGAGGAAAGTAGGGATGATGAGGAGGAAGGGAGTAGCAGAAAGAGTGCAAGGAGTGAGCTGGGGGATGAAGATAGGAACGGAGAGGAGATAAACCTAAATCTGGTGGTGTCAAATACTGATGAAGACAACGTCTCCGAGCCTCCTGACACCAATGCTCCTCCGTCCTCCTCCTCATCTTCATTTGTCATCCCTGAGCTGCGACTCGATCGCTCCTTCAGCGCTGACGCCCTCTCCTCACCTAACACTGATGAGGAAGAGTATGATGAAGATGAAGAAGAGGAGTCTGAGGAGGAGGAGGATGAAGATGAGGATGACAGTGATGATGCGTACTTGCAGCGAAGTGACAGCAAACGCCGTAGCATGGTGGAGGGCGCCACGTGTGAGAAACACGGAGGAGGAAGGCTCAGTGTGCAGAACTCCCTCCGCCGGCGTACGCACAGTGAGGGCAGCCTGCTGCAGGACCCCCGCAGCCCCTGCTTCACCTCCGACAACGCCATCAACTGCCTGGAGTCTGGGGGGGCACACCACAAGGGTGGCTGGACTCTTCCATCACCCAAAACACTGAAGAAGGAGCTGATGAAGAACGGAGGCTCCATGCATCAGCTGTGTATGCTTTTCTCTGGGAGGAAGGTAAGCAGCTTCAAGTATTCGAACAAACACACAGATGCAGGAGCAGCAACCATACTTTTATGTGTTTTTGAAACACCTTTGTAACCAGTGCTTCAGCATCTCTTTCACTACCTGGATCCAACCTCTTGTTTGTATAATAAGGCTGACATCAAGTGGTAAAACAGAGAAAGTACACAATATTCAGCATGTACACTTTTATAAACAGTGTACATTTATATATACCACCGATATTCCAATTAAAGGGATACTTAGCACATTTTTTATATTTTTAAATCACTTTCTTGAGCCAGTATGTGCAAAAACGACCCTTTACAGGGTTAATTCAAGGCCACCCAGCCCCTATTGCCCCCTCTAGCCAGAATATTCCTCTTTGTTGGGACTGTTGGGAATAAAGCGGAGCTGATATACCTGGCGCTGCAGTCTGATTCCAGCACATTTTCTGCATGTTTTGGATCACGAACACAGCTGATTTGTTTAATTTAGTAATTAATCGTTCCTGTAGACACTAATGAAGGCTGGGAGAGGTTTCAGCTGTTACATTAAGGTGTTAAAAAGATGAACCCACAGCTAGGAGATAAACAAACAATAGGGGGTGCTAAAAGCAAGCCAAACCTGTTTAGACCCCTTTAACAAATAAAAAAGCAGCATTTTTTACCACGAGGAGTCGTAATTATAGCTTCAGTTGATGTTTCGCAAAATTATATTTAAAATATATACCATGAATGATATGCATATAAACAAGTTAACCCTATTTTTGTGTGAGCGTCCCGTGACTGTATCCCGATTGATCATGTGCCCTGACTACTTAGCCAAGGGGATGTCCCTTTGGCTGACTGGTTAGCGCGCATGACTCTCACCCGGGAGTCTGGGAATCAAATCCCGCCCGGGCCCTCGTTTCTCCATCTTGCTACACATGCAATATTAGGAAATGCTGTATTTGAGATTCCCATTAACACAGCTTTTGCATTTATTTTTATCATCTTTTTTACTAAATAAGACATCCCTCTGTACAAAGGTACACCATTTTCACAGTTTTACCTTAAAACTCAACTTTTTATTGTTGCACAAAATGTCCATGTTTCATGCACAGATAACACATTCTTTTTTGGAAATCCTCAACGTCAAAGTTATTGTATTCACAAGAAAAACATATGTAATAACATGCTTTAGCTGCTGTTAAATTAGGTGTTTTAGTTGTTATAAAATGTCAGCATGGAAATAAAAAGTTACGTCTAAAAACAAATATTAGTTTTCTGGATTGTTTTTCCCCTTCGAATCAGCGAGCTTCTTTGTCCAGCAGAGGGCGGCATGCATCACATTCATGTAGTCCAACGGTCTCAGACCACTCTGCTTCTTGAGGCATTCACTGAAATAAAGAAAAATGGCTCAATCCTTCCTTACTTTAGTGCACTATAAGTTACATTTACTGGAATCCAAACAAATCATCAGCTCAGACAGAATCCTTTTTTACCAGCAGACAAACAAAAATAATGAGCATAAAAAAGAAAGAGATGAGCGTATCAGAGCTCCGTTGGCTTCCTGCAGACTTAATAACAGGCAGGAGTGATGAAGTGCAGCTTTATCATCAGAGGAAATCAGAAGTGCAGCTCTCCTTTATCTGCCTCTCCTTCCACAAGCCTGTCAGCATACTCGACAGCCTTAAATGGCAGTGTGTGTGTGTGTGTGTGTGTGTGTGTGTGTGTGTGTGTGTGTGTGTGTGTGTGTGTGTGTGTGTGCGTGCACGCGCAGTAGAGGAACGCAGCAGACGGAGCTGGAGCCTGTTTGTCTTGGCAGATTTGAGGGTAATTTTACTAGCTATTGGCGTCATGGACACATTTCCTTTGAGTTGTTTGTTTCCATTATTTAAAATTGTATCTATAAATCTTGAACCGTCTGAAGACACGGAGAAGTGTAGAAGTGTGTGTATGGGCTTGCGTTTGCCTTCTGAGCTGCAGAGCCTTAACAGGCCGCTCTTGAAAGAGTTTATGTGCTAACGTGCAACATTTATAACAGTGTTTAATAATATATCAACATTTTTAGTGTTAAGCTGCTTCAGCAACACAAAATGTGGATAGTCGTTTCAGTAAAAACTCTGTTATTTTTTATTATATACATATCTAAATGATTAACAGCTGTAACCTTAGAAGGTTTTTGCAGTGTTGTTTTTCATTTTTGGAAATTCATGAATGAAACATGGCGGCTGGATGTGCACGGGCAATATAATGTCTTACTGATTAAAATATTTTAACCTTTTTTGAAACAGGGTCCCAGGTTGTGAGTTTCAAAATCACAGTTTCAAACACTTTATTTAGCTTTTTGAGCGACTTAATGAAGGCTAGACTTTGTTTTATGTTTGGATTTTTGAAGCACTGGTTTCTATGAACTTTTACCCTGATTTACAGTTGCTACAATTATAGCTTTTGTCTAAAACTAATAAAGTCACTCATCTCTGCTTCTCGAATCACAGCTGCACACAGATGTGTAAGCAGACCACTTTAGCGCCTGCAGCTCATCGTGTCTTTTCTCTTTTCTCTTGCTGTCAAACGCTGTTTACTTGGCCTTTAATCTGCACTTGCTCTGGTCCTGTCATTTTTTCCACTCTGCACTTTTTCCTCTCACTCGTTTTTCCTCCCCCCTCCTCCTTCTCAGAGGCCCATCGTGGATATAAGGAGAACCAGAGACATAGAGCAGCTCATAAAAATGTTTTAGACTCAGAGACTTTTCTTGGCTGATGCTCAAAGCATTTTCTGCCTCTGACTCACAACAAAATTGACATAATTTTCTGATTTAAACATGCATATTATAAACTCTTCACCAAAACCAATGCATAACATAATACAAAGTTAGTTAGATTCAAATAAACTTTATTAGTCTAAAAAAATTCACGATGAACTTTTTTGCAGGTGGTAAAAATATAAGGAAGATGAATTTTGTCTGTTATTTGAGCTTGTTTTAGTATCCTACAAAATTATTCTGTATGATCTAACAAAAATGGAAATGTTTAAGTCGGAAGTGACACAGAAAATAATAGAAAGTGCATGTCTTTAGGAACTAATAGTTCTTACAGCTAATGCTTGAATATGATGATCTCTTTTGACCCTGTAATCTCCACAATGTCAACAATAGCTAATGTGACTAAATCCTAAAGTTAGACAAAAGGACACATCCAGACTTCTTGTATTTTTTTTTTTGTCGTGTCAGGGTATCTGCAGGTCCTTAAAAAGTCTTAAAAAGTCTTAAATTTGCTTTTCCAAATTTAAGGCCTTAAAAATCCTTAAAAATGACAAATAATCCTTGAATAGTTTCCAAAGGTCTTAAATTACCAAAGACCCAATAAACAAGAATCTTTTATTTCTATAAAATTTTCGTGAATTTCTAGTTCAGCATTTTTTGTGTATGATATTGGCATAAGCGGAAACGTACACATTCGGTTGGTTTGTGGGAGTTTGCGCCATGGGGAAGTGCAACATTAATGGTAACTGGATGGCTAATCCAACGTTCACGACGTGGTTAGCACCAGTTCCAGGCAATAGCTGGAAATTATAGTTTAAATTTAATTTAAAAAATAGCTTAAATTTGGTCAAAGTAGCCTTAAAAAAAGTCTTAAAAAGTCTTAAATTTGGCTCCCTGAATAATGCCCTGAATAATGCCCCTAAGGCTGTTGGTTCAGCAGACCAAATGTTTTGTTTATGAAGACCAAGTGGTTGTTTGAAATCTGAATAAATATCTAGTCTTTCTGCGTGCAGCGTAACCATTTTAATGTGTTTACTGATAAGTGCGTGTTGCTGAAGATCTTGTTTTGTGTCTTTGATAAACAGATTCATTCATGCCGAGAAATGGAGCTGCTTGTTTGAGCATAAAGACATGTAAGATTTAAAACTCCCATGAACTGGTGATCCTCAAATTAGCTAAAAATAAGCATAACTTACATATTTATCATTAAAAAATTAAGGACATTTTAAAAATATGGTGCAACACTTACTTCCATGTTTTATCTCAAAAATCAAAATAATCTCTTTTCTATTTTAGTTTTGTATTTCATTTGAATAAATCATCTCTTGACCAGATCTAACAAACAAAAAAGTAAAATAAACATTGCAGCTTTAGTGTGATGAAAGAAAGAAATGAAAATGAAGGTAAGCCACACAAAACACTGTTCAGAAATAAGACATTGTGCTTATTAGGAGCTAAATCCAGTGATTCATAAAAAAATAAAGAGTCAAAAAGAAAATCTTTGTTTTCACAGTGTTTAATGTGCTGATTTGTTTTTGCAAGCTGCATAAAAACACAGATCCACTTTGTGGGCCTCAGTCAAACCTTATTATAAATAACAGAACAATATCAAAGCAAAAATATTTAATTGGCAGTTGGCCTTGTAAAGATGCTTCCTGGGACTAAAGCTGACATCGATTACGGGAGTAAATGATCTCGGAACAGCATGTTTCAACAATGTACCTTCAGAGGAGAGAGTGGCTTCTGTCACTCTGACCTCCTCTAAACACCGAGTCGTGATAAGCAAGAGAAACATTTACAGGAGCATAAACATGCTATTTTAGGCCCACTCACCCCAAAATAAAAATAAAAAAAAAACAATAGTTCATTAACTATTTTAGACAGACTTCTAGGACAAACCTTTTAATGCTGAATGTTATCTAATTACAGCTAAAAGGCTGCAGTACATACTTGTTGGTATCATGATGCTACTTCAAGTTGGCCAGAGCACATGACCACAACTAATAATAGTTTGTTGTTTACCGACCAGACCACTTGAGAGATCTGCATTAGTCTCATTTCAACTGTTTTGTAAGAATACAACACTAAAAAGCTGCCAAAGCTCCACAAGCACTAAGAATTAGCAAGAATTAGTTAAAGGGGGTTATAAGTTATAATAGCTCTGTGGTCATGTTTATGATGTGTTTGGCTAATACCCCTCTCACATAAAAAGATGTGAGCAGTTTTGTTTTTAACATTTTCAGCACCTTCCAGAATGAGCCGTTTCA